AGTCCAAAAGCCAGGGTCCGTCATGGTCTGGGGTTGTATCAGTGCCCTTGGCAAAGGTCATTTATACTTCTGTGATTAATGAGGAAAACTACACTGGCATTTTAAAGCAACGTTTGCTGGCATCAAGACCAAATCTTTCCCAGAGATGCGTTTTTCAACAAGACAATGCAAAACCACATTCTGGAGGTATTACAAAGACATGGCTGCAGAAGAAGGGGGTGTGGATGCTGGACTTGCCTGCAGTCCTGACCTCTGCCCAGGGGAGAATGTGAGGAGAATTTTGAAACAGAAAATGTGACAACTTGCACAACAGCACAACTTATGTTGTGTTTGCAGGAAAAATGGGACAAAATAACACCTGAATTCTTCATTGCTTGCTATCCTCAGTGTTGTGAGAAGGAATGGCAGCATTAAAAAGTGCTGATTGCTTTACCATCCTAACTTTTTTTTGGAATGTGTTGCAGGCCTGAAATGCAGGAATGGATGTATATTAACACGTGAAATGAAGTTGACCAGACAAAAGATGAAATATCTTGGGTTCATACTGTCTGCAATGAATAAGTCAAAGTAAATTTTAGAATCACGTTTTTTTTTTTATTTTTATTTGCATTTTCCATAGCATCCCAACTGTTTCTGATTTCAGGTTGTAGGTGTTGCTGAACACTTACAGTGCATTGGCAAATATGCCTATTTCAAAATAAAACAACATCAGTTTTTAAATTCTGCTTATTTGAATTGTATGCCATACAGTAGGACCTCTTAGGGAGATGAAAAAATTAATATACATGAAAATAATTATCATTGCAGGGGGTGTCACCTTCGGTGGATTTTGCCAAGCGGACTACTAAATATTTTTTGCCTGTACATTTTTTACCCCTATTAAAAACCTGTAAAGTAACTTCCTTGCAGATTCATCTTAAACTGCAGAAGGTAAAAAGCAAAATTTGGCCAGGAGGTGGCAGCAAATCGCTTTTAAACTTAATTAGTATATATTTTACGCTCAAGGATACCGTTCTGTTTTACTTTTGTTCACATTCAGTTCAGAGCTCACAAGTTGAAATGTGATCTTGTTGTTTGAGTCCCAAAAACACAACGTACAGACATCTCCCAAAGGATGATAGCACAACACACCGCCTAGCGATTTTTGGTCTACAATAAATAAGAATATATCACTCTCTAAAAAATATGATATTTGAAAAATTCATATTCAATGTTTTGCTGAGTAAATGGAGAGCCTATTAACAAATTTATGAACAATATAAAATGTTTTGTGTTAAATTATTTTATTGCAAACTAAACAGTTGTCACACAGTAATGACTGTGTTCTGGGACCTATGTAGGAAAAGAGAGTAGCTACGCTAGGCTGGGTTAGGCTCATGACCGTTTAGTAAGGTCAGGTGAAACTGTAGCTACTCCCTTGAATGTACTGGAAAAAATAAGTAAAAAAAAAAATAAGCAAGTTTCAGAAAAATGAAACAAATTTGAATCCCCTATAATTTAAAATGAAGGCTTTCGTTTTTTCATGTATGCGCATGTGTTCACATAGCATATAACAGACTGTGCCTGCAAGCATCCTTGGATTTTATTTCTTTATTTTCACAGGGTATAATGACTAAAGTTTTTCACTGTTTTTGTTATTTAGCACCAAAATTGTGAAGCAGGGATGTGTTACGTCCAACATACAGTGCATCTATTCAGCACCATTATTATAAAAAGCACCAAGACACGCATGAGCAGTTATGCATGTGGATCTTGTGTAGTAGCTAAAATGTGAATAAAAAGACAATGCTTTCTAAAAACACTGAAAGAAAAAGTGTTATACTTCAATCAACACGGACTGAAGGAGCTTTCTGGTCAGTGATGCACTATGAAGGCTGTTTAAGGTGCGTTTTTCAGATCTTGTATGATAAACATTTACAGCAGCAGGGGACATTACAGGAATTGTATTCAGCTTCTTTCCTGTGGGCTGGAGGAGTCTAAGCTGTCATGCTTTCCTTGGTTCCGTTCCTATGTCGGATGAAGTACCGACGCAAGCGAAGTACCTGTCCTCTGTGCACCATCATAGCTACAAACTACCGAGGCTGAGAGCCTGAGCCTCTCTCCTGACCTCAGCAGCGCCACCTGGCTGTGCCCTACATGCCTGAACCTTCCTCCGACGCAGCCACACTGACCCGGCCCTGAGAAAAAAGAACCCCAGTCAATATCGGTCTTTTTGAAAGAGATTAACATAGAAACAAAAAATAAAAATCAGTCTACAGAAAAAAAACTATTTTTAATATTTAGCTGTAGTGGTCCAGCTTTGGGTTTCCTATACACAAACATTCATGTGTATATGAAGCTGCTTACTGAACACTGGCTGTCCTGTACACAAATGGTCAGACACACAAAGCTCTTACCGAATTTTGTATCAATTTAGACCCATCATTCAGTCGGGCCGTCAAACTCTCCTCCTGTGGATGAAAAGCAGCTCAGGACATCATAGGATGTGTTTTTCTTATGAACATGACACTTATGCCAGATTGTAAATAAACACTGAATGCATACAGATTGCTTGTTCAGGGTGTAACCTGGATTTGCATTCTAATTTCCACTGAATCACCACAACTATGAATGACTGAATGAACGAATGAATGAACAAACAAATGAATGAATGAAAATGGTTGTAGGAAATGGTTGGGCTAGCATATTACAAACAAACTCTGCTGATAACTGATAGGAATATAGCTACTATCTCAGCAAATATGATTTCATGAGGAAACATCACTTTTTATTCATGTATGTAGGAGCACATTGTTGTAATTAGTTGGACAGTAATACAATTTTAAAGAACGAGTGTAATTAATAATATTTAAATACTACTTCATTTATAAATATTTTTACACTAAGGTGTTAGTACTACTTGTAAGATAATGTAATAATGACAGCAGTGTAACTTGTGCTCCTGGGATGCCCTCTGTCTGTGCCCTGGTAAGCATTATCAGGAGTGACATCTTCCTCACGTAATCCGAGTTGGCTTCCAGCGACTCCTCCGCCTCGCTGCTCTCCATGTTGCAGCCCCTCAAGCAGCGCAAGGGCGGCTTCTCCCGGCCGCGGCTCAGGAAGTTTGCTGCTGATGACTTCCTCTTCAGCGCTGGAAGAGCCCCTTCCCATGTCAGATGGTGCACATTCGGTCATGCTTTACATTAACCGCACCTTCATAATGCATTCATAGAACATTCGTTGCACCTTCATAATGCATTCATAGAACATTCGCTGCACCTTCATAATGCATTCATAGAACATTCGCTGCACCTTTATAATGCATTCATAGAACAATCATGTGCATCATGTAAGTATATCTAAACATCCTAACATTCCTTAACAGCTTTAATATACATTAAAAATCATTAGATGATAATAAGAAACATTATAATTGCATAATCATATAGTGTTTGTAATTAAGTTATATTAAAGCTGATATCATATGTATTAATAAGGTATCTTAGGTATTAATAAGGTATTTTAGGTAGATTGCTTATGAATGTTCTATGAATGCATTATGAAGGTGCAGCGAATGGTCTATGAATGCATTATGAAGGTGCGGTTAATGTAAAGCATCACCAGAATTTTTTACTGCCAAAGTCGCAGCAGCTGCACGTCAGCGAGAGTGCGGACGAGGGTGCAGGTCCCTGGGAATCCTTCCTTGCTGCTGCCCTTGAGGTGACAAAGACTTGAACGTGAACCCAGAGTGGCAGGATGGTGCCCAAGCGCTCGGATTTCACTTACCGGCCTCGATGCAGACGTAGCTGAGCAGCAGCAGCACCAGCAGAGGCGTCAGCGTGTCAGTGCGCGGCCCCATCTCCCTGCTCCGGCCTTCAATGGTGCTCCGAGCTGCAGCCCGGCCCTTTGTACACTGTCGGAAGCGAGGCCACGCCCCCCAGCAGACCCCCGGGGGGGGGGGTCCCCCAGCACTGCCCACACTCAGGAAACAGCGAACCTTTTAAAGTCCATGCATGCCTGATTATTCATTCAAAACAGCAGGATTTTATCTACTATTTTAATTATTGTTTGTAGTAAGAAAGGCAAAATTGTCTGCAGTCTAAGGAAATTAATTGATTTCACTCTTAATAATGGCTGATGTAGTATTTTTATTGTTGTTTTTAAAAGCTGTGCCGGACCTCAGATGTCAATGTTACCCAGTATTTTATAAATATAAATGTTTTGCCTTTAATAATGCATGAGCTAGTCCTTGTTATCACCTGCACTGACCTCCCTCTGCAAAACTTCTACCATTTCAATCTCTCACCCCTCTGTGTTTCTCTGAGTCTCCGCTAAAACAATTTGGTTTTTGTTAATCAGTGCTCAGCAAATCAGATACTGATGATTCGCGTGGATTATACAGATTGGGAAATGAAAGAGTGCGCGCTAAAACAAAGGACCTTGTGATGTTGCAGATTCTGTTTCTGGTCGAAGCCTGTTAAACAATCAAGACCTCAGAAAGAAGTTAAACCTCTACTGAAGACTAGACAAAATGGTTTAGAATGATTGGAAATACTACAGCGGCAGTCCTTGAAAATAGGGAGCTGTTTTTAACATTTCTGTTATAGATCTTGTTTCTTATCATCATATCAGCCAAGGAGGAGGTCAGGGCCTTGCAGTGAGGGAAGGGCGACCGACATCTTTGCTTCTCAGACCGACATCTTTGCTTCTTTTTGTTTAATTCTACCTGTGACTCCCTGATACTCTACATTTCACTTTGGGGTTTGTAACATTCCACAGGAAATGGCCCTGGGCCCTTTGAGTTTTCGGCATTGGGTTCTAGGTGAGAGTAGCTCTGGCACACACTGAATGGTCAGGGTAGAAGTTCTTAACTTGATCTCCTGTTGTAACCCCACTGGTGCATGCAGACAGAACGTAATTTTGAAGAGTGAACTGATTTCTGGGAAAGTGACAAGTAATGTTCTAGAATATTCCGAATGTCCTCAGCTCAACTGAAGCACAAAATGGACTCATTCTTAGACTTTTCTTTTGAATGTGCCATTAATTCTTTATTTTGAAATACAAAGTAACGCATCCTTGTTTTACTTCCATTGACCATCTTTTAAATACTGCTGCTTACAATAATCTGTTATTCATAACATTTGTTGTGCCATGTGCAAAAACAGGGAAAAAATCATTGTATCTGCTCATGAAATCAATAAGTTAACATAAAAGGACATCAGAAATAATTATAATAATTAAACTATGCAAACCATTCCTACAGTTAAAGATCATTTGCATTTTATTTAAACAAAATTTGAAATTATGGATAATGAATTACTACAGAAAAGTCGACATAAAAGGTAAAAGGACTATAAATTAATAGTATTTGCAATAGATTTTTAATTCTAAAAAATGTACACATATGTACTAAAAGATTAATCTTTAAAGAATTTCTGTCAGCTACATTTAGCTTCTAAAGTGCTGTCGTAAATTGGAGAAGCAGCTTTAATAAATGTCTTCATTATTTTTGTAGGAGAAGATTACGTTGCTATTTCTATGTCTGTATATATTTGCATAACAGCAATTTGAAGAGGAGTAAGTATGTTCTGAAATATATTAGAAAGTTACAGAATTCCTCTCTCCAAACAGTGTACAAAGTCTCTCGCTCTAAACTCTGTTGCTTGCTCTCTCTCACACACACAAACACATACATGCTGTACTTTGCAATAAATCAATACAGACCATTGATCATGTCTACATCTGACACCAGCATATATGATTACAGGGGAACATTCATTCAAGCTTACATTTCAAAAATTCGATTTTTGGTGCCCGAACACGAAATCTCAGAGGGAATAATGAATGGGCATCAGATCGCATGCACCCCTGTAGAAGGCACTAAAAAAAGATTGAGCCCATAATCCAGGGATTGTTTCCTGAACAAACCCTGCAAACCTCCAATGCCTTCTTGTTGCACATTCTGCTTTGTATAAAGATTACCTGCAATTTTCTGTTAAGATATGCATCTTATTAATGAATTATGCTATGCAACGCATGATCCAAGTCATTTTAAAATGTACAAAATTTTAATTAACGTCCAAAATTGTGCTGTAATGCATGCAAGCTAAAGTGCAAAATGACTATTGTAGAACTTTTTTCTAAATATTCCCACTTTCATTAGTTCAGCTTTTGGCTATATATATATATATATACAGTAATATAGGTTCTTTGACGAGAGAAGCGCTTATTTCTGTTTCGTGTAATACTGTCTGTTTTGTGTTGCTGTTCACAGTGGCCACTGTGGAGGACATGCGGGGACAGTTTGAAGTCCCTGTGAAATGAAGCTTAGCAGTGTGAGGACATCTACACTCGTCATGGGTCCACAGCCGTGTGGCGTCACATCAGTGCAACTTCGGCCCCGTCTTTCATCATAAAGACAAGGCCAGTGTGGTCTGCTTCAAATAGCCTTTTGAAGATTAGAGAGACTTTATGAAACTTGTCTGATCTAAGGTCCGAGAAGGACACCAAAAACAGACAGATATCATGGGCTTCAGGCCTACTCACATACAGATACGCCTCTTGGCCTACTTTTGAGGACCACCCCCCCCCTCCACAGATATCACGGGCTTTAGGCCTACTCACATCCAGATACGCCTCTCGACCTGTTTTTGAGGTACACCCCCCCCCCCCCCCCCCACAGATATCACGGGCTTTAGGCCTACTCACATCCACACGCCTCCTGGCCTGCTTTTCAGATCATACAGATCAAATGGGCACATGGCAGATTCACTTGGTGTCATTAGAGATGCTCACTGTGTGTCCAACTGGTGTGTCTCCTTTGCAGTCCAATTGCTCGTATCCATTTTTTGTAAAGGAGAGACAAGGGCTTTTCATGGCTTCAGAACATCTGCTGCATGATAAGAAGGGGCTTGTGTCCTGTCAGACAGGCCCATCGGGGAGGCTGCCCCACCTCCAATCCCCGAAGACTCCAAGGGTACCTTCTCACACCTCCTTTTCACCTGTGTTCATTATGCTCGTCCTTCTCAGGTTCTCCTTCACCTTTATGAACTCTGGTGCTTTCTCCGCGCCTTCCTCCTGCTTCTCCTGTTCCCTCTCCAGCTGGAACAAAGGAAGAATCATCATAATGGCTGTTGTTACACTGACATGGATCCCTCCTTCATTGTTGGCTCAGGCCTTCTGAGGTATGATCAGCCCATCTGTGGGCTGCACTCAGCCTGTCCTCAGCTCCATGCTCTCTGTGTACATCTACGTACCTCTTCCAGCTTCTTGTGCCTCTTGAGGAGCTCCTGTTCCAGTGGGGATATCTTCCTCCTGGCCTCCTCTTCCACCTTCCGCTGTTTGATCAGCTGCTCCCTCTTCCTCTGTTCCAGCACACGCTGGAGCTCTGGCTTGCTCTCCGCTCCCACGCCCCTGGTGCCGCAGAGATACAGGTAGAGGAAGAGGCTCAGCCATGCAGCGCCGGTCTCAAAGAAGGAGCCCCCCCCCAGGGGCCCAAGCCCAGGGAGTTCAACTGAGTACTTAAGTGCTCAGACAGAACAAAGACACCCACAGAATTCAGCCCTCAGGGGCCGTGAATGGGGACTTCTGCTGCAGCCCTGCAAAACAAGTGCGCCTCGCTGAACACAGTGCACGGATAAGCATGAATGTTATTTCCATATTAGACATCAGAAAACTGTAGTTTTGAAACATGCAAAACAGGTAAATTCATGTGCCCAGTAGAGGGCACTCTTGCCATGCTTATAACTCAACAGATTTTACCAACTACAGACAAAAATATGTCTGTGAATAATTCAGTATTTGACAGCCGATAATATTATGTAAGAAATATACTGGAATATATTAATTATAAAATATAAATACTAATTATAAGATATAAGTACTATATTAACAGAAAAATAATGACAATTCAAAACCTGGACCTGCTAAAAATTAGTTTTATCAGCTTGAATACATTTTGTGTCTTTGTATAGCTATTCATGGCATAATTAAAATATGTACTGATTTAAAAGCCATTTTATGTTTAACTACATCTGCATATAGACGTATGACTATGATAAATCGGTGAATAATTAATTTTTAGTTTGAATCTGTGGTCACTGTCCTTTTTAAGAACTGTCGCAGAATCTTGGATCAAAGTATAATTTTGCAACATTTTACTTCCTACTGATGCCTTAGATAGTGATGGATTTTTCATTAGCCTGAATTCGCTAAGACACTGTTTTTCTCCTCTCAGTTGTCCTGTGAACAGTGCTGATAGCAAACTGTGACTAAGAGACCAGAGCAGAATGCACTTCAGAGGCGCGGAGCAGCATTACTGAGGCTGACGCGAATCTCCGGCAGATTATTAAATTAGCATGGTGCCCATTTCTCCTGGGGGTACTGAAGTCACAAGTCTGTAAGGTGTGAAACAAAAACAGCACTCAGGGAACATTAGCTTGGCAGGAGTATCTGTGTTCATATTGCCCATGTTGATAAGGAGGAAAACAGAAACACAGTGATAATTAAACCGCACAGGCAATCATGAGGGAAACAGGCCAGCACCCATACACCCATACAGTTGTCGATGGGGGAGTGGGGCGCACTGGAATCACATTAATAGATACAGCTGACAGCAAGTCTTGGCTTGGAGATTTCCCCTGACCGCAGTTTCTCCTGAGAATCCATGACAGGCCTGTGTTTCCCGTCTATTTAGGGGATGAGAACAGCAGTCAAATGAAGGACATTTGAACCCAGGGTGTGTTTCTGTCTTATTTTCTCCGTCTTTAAAAATCCAGCCTAATCCAGAATAGGGCAGCAAATGGAAAGAAACTGGGTCCTGGGCTGTGACCTCTGTTTCTGTGCCGGTGACTCGCTGGTCACTCCCTCTGCAAGCTGCTCCCAAAGTGCCCCCCCGAAGGTGGCCCGTGGTCGACTCTCACAGCCCCCTGCGCCCTGACGCTTTGTCGCCCGCTGCCCGGCTGGATGCCCTCTTAATTGTCGGTGTGGCGCTGTGCCAGCTGACTTCTGCACATCCTCTTGCTCTTCTGCTACACAGGACACTCAGTATCTCCAGGCGCTAACTTTCCTGATTATTAGCAGACAAGGCAGCCGGCCTAGGAGAGCTGCGTTGGCAGAATGAACGATATGACTGATAAACATAAGAGAAGGATTTTTTTTCCCTCTTTCAAATCAACACCTGAATGTAAGGGAATGCCGGTATTAGTCAAACGAAAGGGGCATGTTTTCTTTTGAGCTCGACTTAGAGATCAGTGGATGAAGTCATTTCCGAGAGGTCTGATAAGGTCATTTTTTCATGTGTATATTCAGGCACAGACCACAAACTGCGCTCAAAGGCACTGCCCATCCCCCAACCCACCCCCCCAGTCCGAGAAAATCTCCCAGCCAAGACTGACCCAAGGGCTGCTTGATATACGTGGAATTATGGCTTAAGACATGGGAAAGTGACCTGCTTCTTTACACATGCTTTATGTGCTGAAGATGTTTTAGACTGATCGCTTCGGGCTGTTGTACACATGGAAACCGCCTCCTGATATCAATGGTGCATTAGGGATTGTAGGACATCAGGTATTTTGCATTGCTTTGGGCTTTGGGAAGAAGCACATCCTAACTTACGATTGGAGGATTCATGTGGCAGGAGTCTTTGGCATTACTTCTGCAAAGACAGGGCTTCTAGCTCAGCATCCATGTTGAGTATATTGATTACTGATCCTTTTTAATTATAAGCTTTGGCTCACTGGCTAGGAGAGCGGCCCCACCGAGCTCTGGGGTTAGGGGTCTGAGTCCTGCCTCACTTTGTCTGTATG